CAGCCAGTAGCCCTGTTGTTACAACAGAATTACTGGCCAAGCCTCTTTACTCTGCTTTGACCTTAGGAGGTATGTCCCAGGACTTTCTGGTCATAAACAGCAGCTACTCATTACATAATGTTTCTGGCTATTGCCTAGCAATGTCTTCACATTGCTACTTAGTTAACAGCCTGTAAATTTAACAAAATGTCTGCAGGCTCCAGGGGCCTGTCTATGTGAAACTGCTGTGGATCGTGTGTGAGCCTTTATGGCCAAACGTGATTGTCTTCTGGTATTTATACCCAGGTGATGTAAAACACGATTGTGGTAGGAGGACTGTGTTCAGCTCTTACTCCCAGGTGATGATTAGACTAGTAACCAACACACAAACCAAATATATTCCTTTAAAAATTTAAAACACTGAAATAAAAAATTATTTATGTTGATTTTGCAACTAAACACTGTAACCACATGATGCAACCAAACTACACAGGAAAAATAAGGTTTGTTTATATTAAATGACATTTTCCTTTTTTCTTTATTTTAACCAGTACTAGTTTAATTCTCCCTGTTCTGTTTAATTTTCCTCCTGATTTAGTGAATCTGACTGAATTATTTACTAAAACCCTTAACAAGCCAACATGTCACCCGTCAGCACCTGAACATCGCGTGCTTTTGACAGGAGTCGAACTCACCAACGATGGAGAGGATGACCACCACAAAGTCAAAGATGTTCCAGCCCACAGTGAAGAAGTAGCATCGCAGTGCCACGATCTTGACGAGGCACTCGGTGGTGAAGATGACGATGAAGCCCAGGTTGATGTTGTTCAGGATCTTCTCCATCCTGGGCGACTGATCGTCCGTCTCCACCATCATGGTGATCATGTTGAGGAGGATCAGCACCATGATGATAATGTCGAACGCCTGCTTGCCCACCAAGTCGAAGAAGAAGCCCTGCAGAGGGTTCTGGAAGGAAAGAGACGCTGTATTTTATATTCATCATACAGAGAAGTATGCTTAGAGAAAGGTGTTTGTTTTGAATGTGTTTCTTCCAAAGTTATTTGTCCTGATGGATCCAGCGCCAATTCCTCATAGTTATCAGTTTAAAACTGTACAGTTTTTCAAAAATAAAAGGCCTGCTGTGTTTGAAACACTTCCTCCACAGATGCTCCACATTAAAACACATCCAGAGCCTCATTTTTATTGTGAGGATTTTATTGTGAAAACTGACAGGAAGTGCTTTTTTGACAGCAGCCTAACAACAAGGTGTGTGAACATTACAACAAAGTTAATGCCGCAGCACTGTGAAGCTGTGAGCTTTTTGTGCAGTACGTCCTTGGATATTTTTGCATTTAGCTGTTAGAACAATTATTTGTGATTATTAGAGTAAAAGCACCGTGGTCGGCGTGTGTCAGTGATTCATAGATACATGATCTTCATTAGTCTTGACAGTAAAGCTGAAAAGATGCTTTAACTAGAAATCTGAATATTTCCACCAGTGTGGATTAAAAGGACAGTGTTCACCAGCTCTAGCCAGTAGATGTCTTTCAAAGCGATTTCTGTCTGTGATAAAATGTGTCTAGAAGCCAGGACTTCAGTGAGACGCCTACAGACGGAGCTGAATGAGCCAGTGTGCTGCGTATGGGTACCAGAGGTCTGGGGATGGGCCTCTGAGGTTTCTTGGAGCCCAGTTTCTTCATGGCGTTGTAGTACTTCTTCTGCTCCTCTGTCATGAAGATGTCCTGTCCTCCCAAGTAAACAAAGCCAGCAACAAACCACAGTTTACTCAACATGTCATTAGCCCCAAGTTTAGCATCAGAACTGCAGTTTAAAAACCAGGCTCTGGTGATTTTAATGATTATATGTCCTAGAAATCCAACATATTGTAAAGTCATACTGTAGCTGTGTGATTAGGTTTACTGCTACGTGAATACACAGCTGTACAGTGTGGTGTTTGGGTTCAATGTGTGCTTTGGTGTCTGCAGTGGTGCTTATCTTTCGTTTCTGCTGGTTGAAATTGTCGATGATGACACCGATGAAAAGGTTGAGGGTGAAGAAGGAGCCGAAGATGATGAAGATGACAAAGTACAGGTACATGTACAGATTGGTCTCCTTGATCGGCTGCTGGTCGACCTGTGAGGGGGCACAGGCCGTAAAACAACCACACCTCCAGGGCAGCTCATTACTTATTACCTGCCTCTTGGATCATCATGTTTGTTTTAACTTCTTCTAATTTCACTTCTGCCTCAGTCTCATTAAAGAGTCGCTTATTTTATTTAATCTAGTATCTTGTCATCTACCTTCTCATCTTCATGTGTCCTTTAATTTTAATCTTACATCAGCATGAAATGACTTTTATTTGAATCTCACATCAGTAATTTACTAAGTTAATATATGGACAGTGACTTGTTCTCTACTTCTGCTGCTATTTCTGCTTCACTTCATATTTAATCTCAAAGTTATTTTACATTTGAAAAAACAGGTTTTCCTTTTACCTCAGTTTGTATTTTAGCTTGACATGATCAGTGACTTAATCCAGCAAAACTTCACCTTAAACGACTTCACATAATAAAACATTTTTTAAATTTGACTCATCTTTTATTTTTTAATCTCCACTTGACCTTCACTTTGCCTCATGGTGGAAAAAGATCAGGGCAACACAGAAATTCAAAACCTCTCCTTTACTTACAGCTCTGGAGTCCACCGCTGCGTACATGATCTCCATCCAGCCTTTGAACGTGGCCTTGGAAACAAACAAACAATCAATAAACAGTAACTACCTGTGATTTGTGATGACGAGTCTGACCATCTGTTTGATTGGGAAAACCAATCGATTGAGCTACATGTAAAATTATACGATGAATTGGCTGCAAAATCAGTCACAAGGAAAAAGGTTTGGCTAAACTTTTCCTTAGCTTTTGCCGTTTGTCTTCAACTGAGCTCAAAGTTGTCGCTCTTCAAACCTTTAAAACCTGTTTACATAAACCAGTCGTTCAAGAGGAAGAACGTGGCTGATGTGTCAAGGACCAAACAGGCCATTTTCAGTAGTTTTATCTTATCCACACATCTTTTTAAATGCTTTATTTATTTTAAAGAGAATGAGAATTCAAACATGTGACTCTTATTGGACAGTGGTGATAAGCAAACCTGTAATCACAGTGACACAAATAGAAACTTCTAAACTCGCCAACGTGCAAACTGAACTGACCCAGCCGTGGTCACTAGCGAGATCAGAGCTTTGTAGAGGTGGTGAGCGCTAGAAATCAAATTCCAGGTTGGAAGTCTGGTGGTGACGCCAAGGTCATGGGACTGTGGTGCAGCTTGTTTACGGCCCAACAGCAGCTTTGGACTTCTGGTGACTGTGTGTGGGCATCAGACCTCATAAAGTGGTTTTCACCTGTGAAGATTATCTTGCTGAACAAAACCTGTGTCATAAACCGCTTTTTGCCAATAACACAAAAGTCTGTGGAAAAATCCCACTGGCTTTTTGTCGAGGGAACTGGGGCGACGCCAACTTCAGGGTTGGCCTACAAAAACACGTCACCCCCATGCTCTAGATGCTGACATCTTGCTAACTACATTAAACCAGTAGCTCCTCACCTTCAGGTGTGTTTACCATAATGCCAGAGGAACCCGGAGCTCCTGTTTTCTATGTGCCAAGTGTGCTCCAAGTTTATCTGCGCCCACATCACCAAGATGACATCCTGCACATTTCCTGCGCTTGAGTGAATAAGTGAACAAAAAAGAATTTTGATGCAGCCTTCGAATTTTACAAGAAAATCAGCAGAGTCAGTCAAAGCGCCATGAAAACACCACCAGCGCCTTTCTGAAAGAAACATGTCCTTTTATGGACCACTGTCCTCAGCGGGGACACGATGTAAGATGGATGGAAGAGAAGGAGCAGGCGGGAAGATGGAGGGAAAAGATGCAGATGTGAGGAAACAGAATACTTTGGTGTGAGTGGGTGCATGCTGTCCATCACCTGAAATTAGCTTGTCACCATAGGTTGCCACCTGGTATTATTGTTATGTCCTGTCAGATGTGAGCTAGAGGGGAACGCTGTAAAAGATGACGAGCTTAGCCAAAATTTTACAGGAGACCGACAACCTTACTTTTAAAGAGCGTCTGGATCAGACTGAACTGTCTCTGAATGAAGGCTAATATCCTAAAACATCCACTCTAAACATTTAGAAATATTTATATTCTGGCCTGACAGGCTGCAGCTGCTGTATAGTTCAGGGCTCAGTCATCCTCACACTGAGCTCAGTAAACTCTGCCTGCACCATTTTTTACAGCATGCAGCTATTTCCAGATGCTAATCAAAGGGTTGCCCCCGCCAACCGTTGCCGCGCGGACCAGGCAAACACAGAGATGCTGAGTGACTCGTTGCCAAGGTAACAGTACCTGAGGTTGTGGTAGCAGACCAACAACTTCTTTACCTTGTTTTCCACTTTGTGTCTTCCTATGAAGAAATGTGTTTGACTGGGGTTTTTATTCCACACAGCTCCTCCGTACATCCCTCCATCTCTCTCTTCCCCTTCTTCCTTTCCTCTGTTCCTTTCTGCTTTGTCCTTCTACCCCTCTTTTCCTCTGCTTCATCTCCATCCATTTCAACTCCTCTCCCCTTTTATCTCCAAGTTCTCACCTCTCCTCCACCCATCCCTCTTTGTACCACTTTCATTCCCTTGAATCTCTCTCCCGTTTCTATTTCTTTCCATTCCTGTCTCCATTTCCCTGTGTCTCTCTTGCTCTTTGTCTCCATCTCTCCATTTCCCTCCCACTTGGCTCAAGTCGCTCTAAAAATAAAAGCCTCTCAGATGCTGATTGATTGGAGGCTTTCAGGACTCCCGTGGTGGGCAACAGAGAGCGAGAAAGAAAAGAGTAAAGTAAAGACAGACAGAGAACGAGAGAAAGGAAAGAGGAGGGAAATTGAGACTTGTAAGGAATGAAAGCGACATGATGGAAAGATGGAAAAAAGGAAGAGGCAGTGGACAAAGAGCAGAGTTGCAGTGACTGTAATAGGCTTTTCTGTGTTAATAATGGATGATGGAGAAACAGAGAAAAGGATGGAATGAAAGGCAAAGAAAGAAATGAAAAATTAAATGATTCAGAGAAAAGGTTTTCAGACAAATAAAAGATGGAAATTTTGAAACATAAATTTCAAGAGCAGGGAAACTAGGAGGCAAAAGAAGAAAGTTGAAGAGGATCAAGAAGAGACAGCAGGACCACAGCCCCATGCCGCCCGAGACATTTGTTTTCCACTTTTGTATCTTTAACTGTTCTATTTTCTGTATGTTTCATCAACACAAGCTCCTGACCGCCGGCATCCACGTGTCACCTGGCCTGTCACTCTGTATCGCTGTTCTCCCACCTCGCTGTGACAAAACAAAACGCAGCTCCTTTCTTTGACTTCATTAAGTCAAACAGCAACACAATCAATACATGTGTCTCCGTATTGAGAGAGGCATTCGCTCAGTTTACATATGTGGCATGGCAGCGGCAACTTCATTAATTATTCAGCGCACAGCTTCTGCATCTGTGGTGGACATATTAGCCCAAAGGTCTTTCAGCAGGTCAGCTGCTGCTGGACTCACTGGTTCCAGCAGAACAACACAGCTGCGTTCAGGAGGAGCCAATGCTGTTGCTACTTATTTACTGTCAGCAAAATTCTCTGGATTGTGTATTTGTATCAGCCAGGCTACACAGAGCTAAACAATCGCCATCATATGAGATTGGTGTTCCCTCTCTTTTAGTCAACCTACTTAAGAAAATCTGCAAATACAACAGACTTCCATGAAGGACACAGGCATGCATCCTCAGTTTTAGCTCCTCCAGCAGCCTCCTCACTCCTCAGAGCAGAAATAAGAGCTTTGGGGTGTCCTTCATCATGGTGGACCGAAACGACTTCTGGGTCAGGAGACGACCGAGGAACGATAAAATAAGGGAATTATGATTCATCTCCTGTCCCTTCAGTTAAGAGAAGGAATGTCTCCCTGTCCTCTGAGCCTCCATGTGGGTTAGGTATTAGGGTTAAAGACACAACTTGTCATCCATCTACAACTGTTTTGAGATCTCTGCCCAAACATGCCCACCAGGACAATAGGCATCGATCCCACAGGTGAGGGCTCAAAGACAGGTAACCATGCTCACCGATACTGGGTTACAATGACTCAGTCGTTAGGGGACATTGTTGGCCATCAAAGGACTGAAACACCACTGATGGGGATAAATATCTCAGACTCGGGCAGAACTGATGAAGCCTCTTGGATGAGAGGTGAAACGTCTTCGACCTAAAAACCTAGTCTAGTTGATTTTTCTGAGTCTTATGGATGTACAGTACATCCCTGCCAAAATGTTAGAGGACAAACAACCACACTTCGAGCTCTACTCAGTTTGCGGCAGACAACAGACCCTGAAGATGACCACAAGCCGCAACACACTCAAGTGTTGCTGGAGTTTTGACCTTTTCACCTTATTTTTCCTCGTCTATGCACCTGGGCAGCGGGGGACGTCGTACCAGAAAGTTCTGCACAGCTTTTTTCAGCTTAACCCTAACTCTCAGAACTCACCAACACCTCCACACCCCCTGCAAGCCCAAAGCCGTCTCAGTGTCTCACCACTTGCAGCAGAGCCAGGTATCCTGCCCCCACGTTGTCAAAGTTGACCTTGACTTTGGTCCAGTAGTAGAGTGAGGAGTCATTGTAGGCGTCGCACTCGGTCTTGTTGTTGATGAAGGAGGCGTCGTAGTTTTGGCCGGTGTTGTTGACGCAGCGACCGAACTTCCCGGCAAACAGGTTGACACCCATAATGCTGAAGATGAGCCAGAAGATGAGACAGACCAGCAGCACGTTCATGATGGAGGGAATGGCCCCGATCAGAGCGTTCACCACCACCTGGGCCCACACAAACACATCAGTCCCACCCACAAGCACACAGCTCTCTGCAACACTCCAGCCATGAGCTCACACTGTCATTTCAGTCTTTAAAGAAAACATCAAGTTTCCATTCTGTTACTGGTCAGGGTTAAAGTGTAAACCGTACACACACCAGAATCATTTGTGCAGTAGATTGGTGCCTTAGTGGCTCTAGGACTCAGTGAGCCCGTTATTGAAAAACGGGAAGAGTTTGGTGTTTCTAGGTTTCTGCAAGTAAAGACCACTCACAGACGAGTTAAGGTGGCCAACAGCTGGGGCCCATAAAGAAAAACCTCGTCTACTTGAGTTAAAGATGATGTTGAAAGTCTGGTTCACTGTTAAAAAGTCAAAGAGTGCAAAAGAACATCAATACTAGAGGGAAGAAGTCAACTACAACTCCCAAGGTGCATTTTGTTGTGTTTTGTTATATAAGATTAAAATTTGCTTCTTTAGAAACTGATCATGTATTTATTAGATAACTTTTACTTTCAGAGTCCAACTCAGTTTTGAATAACTCACTGACCAAGTGTTTTTAATTTACATTTTAATATACTGGAATTATAGTATTTGAACCAGGTTCCATTTAAAGGTGAACAGAAGAAAACCCTGATTTCTAAAACTAACTTAAAGCAATGAGTAGTTTAAGTCATAAATAAACCTGTAATAAGGTTAAATTATCCAGGAGACTCCTGGAAAACAGGAGTCTGTCAAATCTGTATGTTGTCACAGTTCAGACAAAAGCTGGTGGTCACCAGTTCAACCAGTGTTCTCATCACTAAATATGCACCTGACCAGCACGCACAGAACCAGAACTTGGCGTTTTTCTTTATCCAGATCATATTTAACCAGTCAGACATGCTGCGGAAAGAGGCAGATGTTCTGCAGCGTGGAGCGGAGGCAGGCTGGAGACTAGTGCTGCTTTGTTTGTCACACTGACTCCGGCAGGCTGGAGACTAGTGCGGCTTTGTTTGTTACACTGACTCCATTAAAATGTTGGGTTGTAGGAACCGAAGCTGTTGACCTTTTAAATCACAGTAATAACTAATTCAGCTTTCAGCTCATATGGGAGGCATGGGAAACACAGTGCACTTCGCATACGTCTCTGAACTGTGGGAGGAAGACGGAGCACCCGGAGAGAACCTCATCTCTGATAACATGATGAGTCTCGACACATTGAGTCAAATCTAATGATTGGAGTCAGAGACGTAGTAACTGTTATTGAGTAGGTACATTTTTTATCTTAACACTAGTGGGAGTCTGTAGCACAGTCATCTGTGAGGTTAGAGTGCGAACGCTAATCAATCACTTTAATCAGTTAATTGCCTGTATCATTCACATAGGATTTAAATGCAGCACAATGAGTGAATGACTTAAATGAAATTTTTAAGATGTAGGAGATTTTTCCTTTAGTTGTTTCAGTCAGAATAAAATAGAGATCTGTTGATAAACAGTTTGTATTTTTTATGAAGATTAGCCTCCTCCTTACTGTGGTGCTCATCCAGACAGCGAGAGGGGTGTCGGCTAAAAACACATATCAACCTGCCCCCCCAGCCCTCGCCAGAGTCCCCACGATGCAACTCCTCCACCCAGAGCGCTGTGCTGAGCGCAGAGCAGCTGTAAAGTGACATTAGAGTTCATCTTTTTAATCCGACACACACACAAAGAGGGCGGTTTAGACTTTTTCCCAGCATGCAACACAGGCCAGAGTCCTGCCTGCACACCTGATTCTGCACATTTAACCTTTAATGTTCAACTTTAACTTGAAGTTTAAAAAAAGCTGCAAACAGTATGAAGCCAAAGTGTCCAAAAAGTTTGCTTTTTACGTGAGACAGGATGCTGTGAGACTTCCCACGTGGATTTAACATCATGCAGAGTGCTGATGTTGCAGGACCCTGACTCCGTGACACTATTGGTAATACTGATAAAGGGACAGAAACACAAATAGGCTGGATGTTTTCTTCACTGGGCACAAAGGCTTATGGACATGCAGAGTTTAAATACTGATTCACAAAGTGTCACAGTTAAACATGAAACATTTTTTCTGAAAGAGAAAACGGCCAATAAACATGAGTGAAAATCAGCTAGAAACAATGAGATGAAACAATCAGGGAGCAGAAAACACTGATGAGTGGGAGGTTAAATATGAAGAAACAGCAGGTGAGACATTGTAAAACACTGTAAAAAAACACCAAAGTGATGAAATTTATTTTAAACACACCTGGGCTCCAAAATATTGTTTCAAAGGAGCACTTGATTAATATTCATCATCCCTTCCATTATGTAAGAGCAGGTTTGAATTACTTATATCACCTGCATATGAATTGCATGTTTTATTCCCCAGAGACAAGCGTGACAAAGGTCCCTTCACCGCCTCCTCTGACAGAGTGACTCATGCACAAAATAACAAGAAGTGCAAAGAAAAAAGCAGAAATCCTGGTCGACAAAGCGGAGACACCTTGGTAAGCTTCACTTGAATGAAGCCTTTTATTCCTCTAACAATCAGAATCAGATTTTTAAAGGATATAAATACTTTATTCTGGAAGTAAGGGTCACTTAGTGAAACAGCACATTTAAAACTTTCTGTACATTTTCAACCCAGGCTGAGAGGACCCTGATCAACCAGCTATTCACATCTAGCTGCCTGGTTTCATTAAGGTGATGCATAATTTTGCACAGGTACACTTCAGTAGGAAACACCTGAGGTAGTCCTGCCTGACACAGTCACGTTATCAGCCCATTATCAGTTACCTGGACCACAGATGATGTTTATTACACAGGATATTCTAACAGACGGGACCTGGCTCCACCTCCTAGTCAGCTCAGAGGGCCATCGCCATGGTTACAGTAATAAAGAGTGGGCTGGGTTTAGGCACAAAACCACTTGGGTTGATTTTAAGATATCGACTGGCTAAAGTGGAAACAGGAAATGAATAGTTGTCTCCTGTTTCAAAGCGTCTTGTCTCCATACGACAACAGTCACTGCCGATCCACTGCGGTCACCTGACCGTAGCACCCGTCAGTGATTTGCTGTTTTAGGCCCAATGCTGGGCACAGTTTGCCCTTACTGGGCCATAATTATGGGCAGGATAACAAGTGATAGCACCGTTTAATGGGCTGGTCACATCTACAACAGCCGGTTCTTGCATTCTTTTGTGTATATTTAATTTTACACATTTTTTATCTTTTCAGTTTTGATTATTCCACATTTTCCTGTTTGGTAAAGACGGTACTACAAAAGAAAACGCCGTCTGTCATGCACTTTGAGGTGAAACATTAAGGTGGAGAAATAAACCAGATGCTTTACAAAACAAGCTCAGTAGGAGTGTTGGATTTGAATCCAAAATCTTTTTCTGCTTAGAGGATGTTGGATTTTGTTTCTCTTTGTCAGTGTTTTGGGTCGTTTTTTAAAAGGTAAAATTAAATACAACTCAAATAATAGTTGTAAAAAAGGTTATCTCTGACATAATCTAAACTGGGACCAATTTAAAAGATATCACCCAGGTGTGTTTCTCTGATTAATACTGCCTCTTACCCTCATGCCTTCAAATCTGGAGAGGGCTCTGAGGGGCCGCAGGGCCCGCAGCGTCCGCAGGGATTTGATGGCTGCTAAGTCTGAGTAACCCAGTGTGTTGGCTACCAAACTGACCAGTGAGACCTGGAGAAGAGAGAGAGAGAGAGAGAGCGGAGGGCAGGGAGAGAAAACAGACAGAGACAGGTGGAGGGACAGAGGGAGAGCGAGAGGAGAAGGAAAAGAAACAGAAGACAGAAGCCGGAAGTTAACTTCTAGTCTAATAAAAGGTGGAGAGAGAGAGAGAGAGAGGGAGAGGATCCTGGACCGGCCGACAGAGCTGTGCACACCAGGAGAGACAGAGTTAATAATCAGCTGAGTCCTGCAACAAAGACAACTGAATAAAGCCTGGAAAGACTGTGAGAGGTTAACGTCCAGTGTCCACACAAACCAAATGACCACTGTGTCAATACTGCAGAAAGGAAACATCATTACAGCTCACAGAGCTGGAGTTCTGTGTGACAGCTGAATCTAATGTTCGTGCTCGGACCTGTGAGGTCTGTGTCATAATGCCTTTAAGAGCTAATACACCAGACTGTATCGCCACTGTGAACCCACTGAGACTGGTTGCATATACAAATCTGAGCCCCTGAAAACTGAAATTAAGAGAAAGCCTGAAAAACTACTTTAATGTTGTGGCTGGGAAAGAAAAAAAAAAAAAAAAAAAAAACCACAAGACACTGAATGTGACAGCAGTGGGAGGCGGTCACATTGTTGTCGTGTCCGGTAGAGTCGGTAAATCCTGTTGAATAGACTAAGACCTCAGCAGTCTGTCGCAGCAGCTGGAAACCTGAAGTCAAACTATCCGCTGTGTTAACTAGTCAGTTTTACATTTGGCATTTTGCTCAGTCAGCTTAACCGACTGTAAACAAATCACTGCAAATCATGATTTAATCTTTTAATCAAAGTGACAGGAGAAGACGACACTTAGCTGGCGAGGCTAAAAGAAGAGAGCAATGAACAGTATGTAACCATTTATGAACCAGCTAACAAATATAAGAGCTCATTAATCATTAAACAGACGCCTAGTAGTCGCTTTGTTTTAGCTCTGTACAATGTAAGAACTCACCAACACCAGCTTAGCTGAGGCAGTAACAACCTCGTATGGTGCAGCCTGGTGTCACTGTGTCTGAGCTCAGCCTCCAACTAAACAATAGTTTACACGTGGTTACACTTGTGGCCCCATGTCATTAGGTTCAGGCACAACAACTACTTGGTTAGGTTTAGAAAAGGTTTGGTTTGGGGTAAAATCACCTGTCTCCTCACACGCATAATGAATAAACGTGTTGTTAAGGTTGTGTAGATAAAAACACGAGGGTTAACAGAGGAGCCAAACACTGGGCTCCTGTGGGAAAGTTTAGAGTCGATCCCTTCGTGGTGGAGAAATGTGTCGTTTTGTCCATGGACCATTTAAAATCTCACACAGGTGTGTGACTGTCTCCTGTCAGTCTGAGATATCGTCTCTGATCAAAGCCAGAATAACACTGACCCCACATGAAAGACAGGAACACCTCTAGGACCCTCTAACACCCGGCAGCTAAGCCCCACACAGACGTTCGTCACACCCGAGCAGCAGAGCTCAGGCCGGGAGGTGGGTTGCGCTCCCAGTGAACTCGGCTGGTTCTTACCCTGATACCAGCAAAGCGGGATGCGGCCCGGAGAGGACGGAGCGCCCTCAGCGTCCTCAGCACCCGCATGGTGGCGATCTGGTCCACAGAGATGAACTGAGCCAGCAGACCCAGCACCGAGACCTACAGGGTCACACAGTCACTCAGATGGCAGCCGAGACATTTTACATGTACCCAAGTGAAAACGCCCACGCTCAGTTACTGGACTCTGTGGTCAAAATGCTGCTTCCTCTAACTAGTCCCAATAATTTCTACTTCTCTTTTGTTCTGCGTTGAGCCACCGTGCCTGCTGATATTTCACAATAAAATTCACCAGGAAAGGGAACAGACTGTGAAACAAATGTGCAGTTAACACAGAACAAAAAACTGAAATACAAAACATTTGTGTTGAAAAGGGAAACAGCTGTACAACACTGCTCTGTGTAGTTATGTTTCTAGTGAAGGACCTGGGTTTATTTTATCCTGGGCTTTTAAAGACAACAGTACTTACTAAAACCTAACAGAAAACCCTTATAGAACAGGGGAGACTCTCTAATAACCTGTTTAATGTAGGCTTCTTCATATTTGAGGTAAATAAAAACCACACTGAGACCTAACATTTGTTTTTCGAAAAGTGCAACAGGCTAAAAAGTCATGGCTGACTGGCCACTCCTCCCCGACTCTTCATCTCTTTGCCCTTTCTTCATAGAGTTACAGTATTTCAGGGGAGTAACTACTGTGAGAGTCAGGAAACAGAACATGGCAACATGCACGTTAAAACCACCTGCCTAATAATGCGTGGAGAATGTTCAGGTTATAACGTCAATAAAATAAAAGTGACACTGAAAGTGGGAAGATTTTTTGGTTATTATATGAAAATTATATCAGCATATTTATCATCTTAGGCCACATCAGCATCACTGTGACTTTAAGTCAAAGAATCAATAAAATGCTCCGGTGACACGGGTGGCTGTTCACACTGGAATCACTTGTTACTGTCAACTGATGGCATTATATCATGTTTAGATAACAGTGACTTGAAGGTGAACTTTCTCCTCATCACATCATCTTGTCATCAGTGCCGTGATCATTACGAGCTCTAATTATTCATCACGACTGTGTTGACAATGAGCTAATGTCACCTTTGTCATCATGTTCATCACTGATTACTGTCACATTTGTCATCATCATCACAATTAACAAAACGATCATCACTAAAATGTCCCAATCAGTCAAGCAAATAATAAATCAACTGACCAATAAACCAATAAATCAACTGCCAATCAACCGGTGAGCGACTTACATCGACTATGAGGAAGTCGAGCCAGCACCAGTAGTTGGTGAAGTACTTCTTGAAGCCGTAGGCGAGCCACTTGAGCAACATCTCCAGGATGAAGATGTAGGTGAAGATCTTGTCTGCATACTCCAGCACCACCTTGACCACCTTCCTCTGCTCAATGTAGATGTCCTCAAAGGCCTGACAGGGGCAGTGGAGAGCAGCGTTAATCAGCTGCCGGTGAAGTTCACTGAGGCAGCTTCACACATACAGATTCAAGAATTTGGAAAGAATTTCAGGGACACTCTGGATCTTCTGCTCCATTGTGGAAAGCTTCAGTTCACAGATCCACAGAACCGTGATTACTTCTGTGGTTCAAAGTGTTTCTCTGTTTGGGAGTGACTGACAAAAAACAACTAATGATTTAGCAAATACAACTACAGTGAAAGAATGATGTGGTTCAGGGCGCATCGTTATATAGAACAGTACGTAATACATGCACATGTACAAGAAAGGTTAAGTACTTAAGCCTATAGTAAAGTGTTTATAATCCTAAGTAAATAAAGTACAGGAAGTAAAGCAGGTTGAGTAAACTACAGTAACGTATACCAGGGCACAGTAAATTATGTAAACACCCATAATATAAAGTTATCAAGTTAAATTATGGAGTGAATAGCAAAGTAGGTCAACTACAGTAAATTGCAGTAAAGTAAAGTCTGACCAGCGCTCCGGAGCTGAGGAGGATCATGAAGATGATGAAGGACTCAAACCAGCTGTGCTCTACAATCTGGTAACAGGTCTTCCTCATCTTCCACCACATCTGACCGAGTCCTGCGGTCGTGTCGATGTCGCAGCACTGGAACCTGGCAAAGCACACTGAGGACATGAGACATGAGACACTGTGTCAGCAAAGACACAACATTGTGCTGGACAACAACATTCAGTAGTTCTGTCCACAGCCCATTGCACACGAGTACTTATGAGGATCCAAGTATTACTATAAGGCTCTAATGTACACAGGGGTGTTTCATGAGGTGTAGAAAGGACACGAAGGAGAAACAAACCCACCTCGGGTAACTTCTCCCTTCAGCTGCTCTTTTCTCAATCACATGGGGTTAAATCACATGCAAGTCTGAACCAGTATCACACTCCAGGTTGTTTACCACACACACACATACAGTGCTGTGTTGTGTGATTTACTGCTGGGTATCTTGGTAATTTGCCACTGGACCTATGTACACATATCCAAGGATACGTGGGTTTGTCTTTATATACTTGTGCAAACCAACCCCTGACGGAACACCTTTCTTGTGTGGACATTTCTTCTTGTGTGGACCTTTTGGGTGGTCCACACAAGGAAAATGCTAGGATAGGCTCCTTTCATTCTAAAGAATGTTCTGTCTAAGTTTCAGAAAATGTCCACATACAGAGAGTAAAGTCAGAAAAATGTGTGCCAGCTTGTGCTCTAAAAGAATCATGCTCTGATTAAATACTGCTTAAGCTGAATTCATGCAATACTGCCTGTGTCTTTAAAAGGGCGCAGACAGGGCAGCTTAGAAGTGGGTGGGAATCAAGCAATATTTATAACACCTGGAGCTTGAGGCTCACCTTCAACTAATGTTGCATTAAATGCATGCCTCAACACTGCGGTAGCACCACAATCAGTGTACTGAGAGATAGGAC